GAGTAGGAGTAGTAGGAGTAGTAGTAGGAGTAGTAGTAGTAGTAATATGAGTAGTAGTAGTAGTAGTAGTAGTAGTAGTAGTAGTATGAGTAGTAGTAGTAGTAGTAGTAGTAGTCGTCGTAGGAGTAGGAGTAGTAGTAGTAGTAGTAGTAGTAGTAGTAGTAGTAGTAGTAGTAGTAGTAGTAGTAGTAGTAGTAGTAGTAGTAGTAGTAGTAGTAGTAGTAGTAGTAGTAGTAGTAGTAGTAGTAGTAGTAGTAGTAGTAGTAGTAGTAGTAGTAGTAGTAGTAGTAGGGGAGGCCGTGGGAGGCTTGCCGTTCCTGTTCCCGTTCGCGTATCTTGGGTCGGCTTGAAGGCGCAGGGGGGGTAGACGGGCACGCGACCGGGCGGGAACGGAACGGGAACGGGAACGGGAACGGGAACGGGAGCGGGAACGGGAGCGGGAGCGGGAGCGGGAACGGGAACGGGAACGGGAACGGACCTATAGGGCGTTCTCGCGCTTTTACGGGGCTCCCCCCTGGGGCCACGAAGCGTGTGAGGGGTGCGCCTGCATGGGTGGCGTGGGCGCGTGCAAACCTTGCCACTGGGGCCTTCGGTGGAGCTCCCTACGGGGCCACGGAACGTGCGGGGGGGTGGGGCCATGGGTGGCGTGAAAGCAAGCCAACATTGCCACAGGGGCCTTCGGTGGAGCTCCCTATGGGGCCACTCAACGTGTGAAGGGTGTACCGAAATTGGGCTGCGGTGGGCGCGTGCGAACGCAGCCGCGGACGCATGCGAACGCAGACATTGGGAATTTCGGTGGGGCCCCCCCCTGGGGCCACGAAGCGTGTGAGGGATGCGCCTGCATGGGTGGCGTGGGCGCGTGCAAACCTTGCCACAGGGGCCTTCGGTGGAGCCCCCTGTGGGGCCACGAAACGTGCGAGGGGGGTGGGGACATGGGTGGCGTGGACGCAACCGAATATTGCCACAGGGGCCTTCGGTGGAGCTCCGTATGGGGCCACTAAACGGATGAGGGGTGTGCTGAAATTGGTGCGGTGGGCGCATGCGAACGCAGCCGCAGACGCATGCGAACGCAGAAATTGGGAATTTCGGTGGGGCCCCCTCCTGGGGCCACGAAACGTGTGAGGGGTGCGCCTGCATGGGTGGCGTGGGCGCGTGCAAACCTTGCCCCTGGGGCCTTCGGTGGAGCTCCCTGTGGGGCCACGAGACGTGCGGGGTGGGTGGGGACATGGGTGGCGTGGACGCAGGCGAACATTGCCACAGGGGCCTTCGGTGGAGCTCCGTATGGGGCCACTAAGCGTGTGAGGGGTGTGCCGAAATTGGTGCGGTGGGCGCATGCGAACGCAGCCGCGGACGCATGCGAACGCAGACATTGGGAATTTCGGTGGGGCCCCCTCCTGGGGCAACGAAACGTGTAAGGGATGCGCCGGCATGGGTGGCGCGAACGCGTGCAAACCTTGCCAATGGGGCCTTCGGTGGAGCTTCCTATGGAGCCACGAAGCGAGCGGGGTGGGTGGGGACATGGGTGGCGCGAACGCATGCGAAGCCTGCCACTGGGACCGCCCGTGGAGCTCCGTACGAGGCCACGAAACGTGGAAGAGGTGCGCCGAAATCGGCGGCGTGGACGCATGCGAGCCCTGCCGCTGGGGTCTTCGGTGAAGCTCCTGGTGGGGCCACAGACCGTGTGAGGGGTGTGCCGACATGGGTGGCGTGGACGCAACCGAACATTGCCACAGGGGCCTTCGGTGGAGCTCCGCTTGGGCCACTAAACTTGTGAGGGGTGGTTCTGCGTTCGCATGCGAACGCAGCCGCGGACGCATGCGAACGCAGACATTGGGAACTTCGGTGGGGCCCCCTTCTGGGGCAACGAAACGTGTGACGGGTGTGCCGACATGGGTGGCGCGGACGCATGCGAACCTTGCCACTGGGGCATTCGGTGAAGCTCCCTATGGGTCCACGGCACGTGGTGGGTGTACCAATCGGGGGGGGGGCCGGACGCATGTGGAGTGTGCCGCTGGGACTTTGGGTTGAGCAACCTCTGGAGCCACGAAACGTGAGGGGTGTGCCGAGATGAATGGCGCGGACGCGTGTGGAAGGCACCACTTGGGCCACTGGGGCCTTCGGTGGAGCCCCCAACGGGGCCACGAAGCGTGTGAGCGGTGTGCAACATGGGTGGCGCGGGCGCATGTGGATTGTACCCGTCGGGCCTTCGGTGGAGCTCCCTACGGGGTCACTAAACGTGTGACGGGTGTGCCGGCGTGGGTGGCGCGGACACACGTGAACGGTGCCGCTGGGGCCTTGGGTGGAGCTGCCTGTGGGGCAACGAAGCGTGAAAGGGGCGCGCCAGAATTAGTGGTGCGGACACATGTGGACGGTGACCGTGGAGCCTCGGGTGGAGCTTCCGATGGGGCCACGAAGCGTGTGAGGGCTGCGCCGACATCGGTGGGGCGGACGCATGTAGACGGCACGCATGGGGCCTTGAGTGGGACTCCTTATGGGGCCACGAAGAGTGTGAGAGGTGTACAAAAATCGGTGGCGTGGACGCATTGGGATTGTGCCCGTGGGGCCTTCGGTGGAGCCCCTATGGGGCAACGGAACGTATGAAAGGTGTGCCGACATGAGCGTCGCGGACGCATCTGGACGGTGCCGCTGGCGCCATGGGTGGAGCTCCCTTCTGGGGCCACGGAGCGTGTGTGGGGTGAGCCGAAATTGTTGGCGCGAACGCATGTGGACTATGCCCGTGGAGCCTTCGGTGGAGCTCCCCATGGGGCCACGAAGCGTGTCAGAGGTGTGCCAAAACGTGTGGCGCAGACTCATGTGGACGGTGCCCGTGGGGCCAAGGGTGGAGCTCCATTTGGGTCCACGAAGCGTGAGGGGTGTGCCGACGTGGGTAGCGAGGACGCGCCCATGGTGCCTTTGGTGGAACTCCCAGTGGGGCCACGAAGCGTGTGAGAGGAATGAGCGAATTGGGTGGCGCAAGCGCATGTGGATGGTGCAAGTGGGGCCTTCTGGGGCCACGAAGCGTGTGAGGGGCATGTCGCGGACGCATATGGACGGTGCCAATGAGGCCTTAGGTGGAGCTCCAATATGGGGCCACGAAACGTGTGAAGGGTGTGCCGAAATTTGTGGTGCGGACGCATGTGGACGATGCCGCTGTGGCCTTTAGTGGAGCTCCCCATGGGGCCACGAAGCAAGCGAGGGGTGTGCCGAAATGGCTAGCGCGGACGCATGTTGACGGTGCCGCTGGGGCCTTGGTGCTCCATACGGGGCCACGAAGCGTGTGAGGGGTGTGCCGAAGTTGCTGGCGCGGACGCATGTGGACGGTGCCATCCCGGTCTTGACTGGAGCCCCCTATAGGGCCACGAAACGTATGAGGGATACCGAAATAGTCTGCGCGGGCGCATGTGGATGGTGCCTATAGGGCCGTGGGTGGAACCCTTTCAGGGGCACCGGAACGTGTCAGGGGTGGGCCGACATGGGTGGCGCGAACGCAAGTGTACTGTGCCACAGGGCCGTGGGTGGAGCCCCCTTATGGGGCCACTAAACGTGTGAGGAGTGCGCCGAAATGGGTGGCGCGGACGCATGTGGACGATTCCGCTGGGGCCTTGGGTGGAGCTCTTCTTGGAGCCACGAATCGTGTGAGGGATGTGCCGAAATGGATGGGAGCAGGAGTGAGGTAGACGCGGGGCGCTGCCTCTTCAAAACGAGGACCCAACTCCACAGGATGTTTGGGAACTCTTTGTTAAACAACGAATGCCAGCATCAGGAAGAGGGGGGAAGGAGGCGGAGGCCAAGAGGAGGCTTGTTGGAGGAGGAAGCGGAGGGCCCCGAGGGAGGACCACATTCTGATCCGATCGACAAGGAGGCTAGGATGAGGAGGAGGAGGAGGAGGAGGAGGAGGAGGAGGACGACGAAAAAGTAAAGGAGGAATGAAAAAGATCTGGGAAAACTGGTAGGCTTGGATGAGGAAGAATTTCCCAAGCGACCTCAGGTGGCTTCTGGGCAGGTAGAATCTGGGGCCGTACCATATTTCACCAGCGCCCCATCCTCCTCCTCCTCCTTCTCCTCCTACTCCTCCGCCTCCTCCTCCTCCTCCTCCTCCTCCTCCTCCTCCTCCTCCTCCTCCAGCTCTTCTTTCACGCTCCTCCATGTTCACCCTACCCCTCATCCGCCTCGTTATCCTCCCCCTTTTTCTTCCAGTGAACGAGCAGGTCCTGATCAGGTTGGACGGCACGCCCTGCTTCGCGAACAGGTACTGCTTAATGCATCGGTCCAGGTCGTAGCCGACAGGCTCCACGGCCTCCAGGGCGAAGTAGAAGCCGTGGGCCGACGACAGGGTACTCGTGTAGACCAGCGCCACTATGTGGGGATGCCTCGAATGATCAATGCCACGAGGCGAGAGGAGGAGGAGGAGGAGGAGGAGGAGGAGGAGGAGGAGGAGGAGGAGGAGGAGGAGGAGGAATGACGAGGACGAGGCGGGAGGAGGAGGAGGAGGAGGAGCAGGGAGGAAGAGAGGAGGTGGAGGAGGGAAGGAAGCAGAGAGGAGGGAAGAGGAGGACTAGGTGCTCGATCACAGCAGGGCCACAATTCGATCGAGGTTGTCGTCGGCGACGAACTCCTCCTCCCCCGTCCTCCTCTTCCTCATCCTCCTTCTCCTCCTCGTCTTCTGGTCTCCGAGATGACCAATGCTTCGTTTCATCAATAACGCGATTGGCAGTGTCAGGGCCAGTTTGGGAGGTGTCTTGTTTGTCGGTTGGGGGTCCAGGGCCATTGCGAAACTCAACATAGTTTCATGCACTGGGCCCAAACAGTACGACATGCATGCTGCTGAGAAGCTGCGTCACAGCCCAGCTCTATGTCATGTTTCTGACGGGTCTGACTGTTTTCGTTGTTTGAAACGTGGCGCGTTCTTGCATCAGCAATCGATGTCTGAGAGCAGCGTCTCGAGTAGATGCCCAGCCACGCTCAGCAGGAACAGTAATACTGTCAGGAACGAACGTGTAAAGGCAAACGTCCACGCATCCGTCGGTGGTTTATTGTTGATGTGCCTGTGCTGCCGTCTCGTGGGCAAAGCCTGCAAATCGTTGATTACCCTGGCGAAGGACCCATACATATGCGGATGCGAGTGCCGCAAAGCAGGTGGGGCGCTCGGTGGAGCTATGGGGCCACCAAACGTGTGAGGGGTATGCCGAATTTGGTGGCGCGCACGGGTGCGAACACCGCCACTGGGGCGTTGGGTGGAGCGCCCATGTGGGGCCACGAAGCATTGCGGGTGTGCCGAAATGGGCTGACCAGACGCATGTGCACCGTGCCACTGGGGCTTTGAATGGAGCCCCACTATGGGGCCACGAAGCATGACGGGTGTGCCGAAATCGGTGGACCAGACGCACGCGAACGGTGCAACTGAGGCCTTCGGTGGAGCTTCGTATGGGGCCACGAAGCGTGAGGGGTGTGCCGAAATGGGTGGCGCTGGCGCATGTGCATGGTGCCAATTGGCCCTTGCATGGATCTGCCCATGGGGTTACGGAGCGTGTGAGGGGTGCGCCGACGTGGCTGGCGCGGACGCGTGTGGACTGTGCCCGTGGGGTCTTGGGTGGAGTTGCCTTTGGGCTTTGGGCCCACGAAGCGTGTGAAGGGTGCGCTGGCATGGGTGGCGCGGACGCATGTGGACGGTTCCCGTGGAACCTAGGGTGGAGCTGCCTGTGGGGCCACGAGGCGTGTGAGAGGTGTGCCGGAATGGGTGGCGCGGACGCGCGAAGACTATGCCCATGGGGCCTTGGGTGAAGCTGCCTATGGGGCCACGAAGCGTGTGGAGGGTGCGCTGTTATGGGTGGCGCGGACGCATGTGGACGGTGCCTGTGGGGCCTTGGGTGGGGCTCCTTGTGGGGCCACGAAGCGTGCGAGGGATGCGTCGGCATGGGTGACGCGGACGCATGTGGACGGCGCCTCTGGGCGGGTGAAGCTCCCTAAACATGGGCGACGCGGACGCATGTGGACGGTGCCCGTGGGGCCTCGGGTGGGGCTCCCTTTGGGGCCACGAAGCGTTTGAGCTCCCTATGGGGCCACGAAGCGTGCGAGGGGAATACCCACATGGGTGGCGCGGACGCAGCTGGACGATGCAACTGGGCCCTTGGGTGGAGCTGCCGATGGGACCACGAAGCGTGCAAGGGGTGTGCCGAAAAATGGGTGGCGCGGACGCGGGTGGACGGTGCCTGTGGGGCCTTGGTGAAGCTGCCCACGGGGCCAAGAAGCGGTGTGAAGGGTATGCCGAACTGAGTGGCGCGGACGCGGTGCCGCTGGGGCCTGTTGTGGAGCGCCCTCTGGGGCGACGAAGCGTGTGCGGGTGTGCCGACATGGGCGGCGCGGACGCATGTGGACGATGCCCGTGGGGCTCTGAGTGGGGCTCCCAATTGGGCCACGGAACGTGTGAGGGGTGTGCCGAAATGGGTTGCGCGGGCGCATGTGGACGGTGCCACTGGGGCAGTGGGTGGAGCTCCCTATATGGCCACGAAGCGTGTGGAGGGTGCGTTGGCATGGGTGGCGCGGACGCATGTGGACGGTGCCATCCGGGCCGTGGGTGGAGCTGCCGATGGGACCACGAAGCGTGTGAGAGGTGTGCGGAAATGGACTATTATGATGATGAGGATGACAGTGAGCAGGATGATGATGATGGTGATGATGACGATGACGATGATGATGTTGATGACGATGGTGATGATGCTGATGCTGTTGATGATGATGATGATGATGATGATGATGGTGATGATGAAAATAATGAGGGGGATGATGGTGATGATGATGATTATTATGGCGACGGTAGTGATGGTCATTATGGCGGTGATGATAATGGTGATGATGGTGGTGGTGATGGTAATGATCAGGGTGATGAGCAAGCTGGTCATAATGATTATGGTAATGATGATGATGATGATGATGATGATGATGATGATGATGATGATGATGCTGCTGCTGCTGCTGATGATGATGGTAATAGTCAGAATATAAATGATGATGGGGAGGAGGAGGAGGAGGAGGATGGTGATGGTGATGGTGATGGTGATCGGCATGGCAATGGTGACGATAATGACGATGGCGACGAAATTGATAGTGATGTCGATGATGATGCCAGTGGTGATGCTCATGCTGCTGATGATGATGATATCGATATCTATGCTGATGATGACGATGGTGACGGCGAATATGATGCTGCTGATCTGAAGGATGATGATAATAAACATGATGATGATGTTGATGGCGATGAGGATGCTGACAATGATGAGGATGATGATGAGGCTGCTGCTGACCATGATGCTGATGATATTGATGCTGATCGTCATTATGATGACGGTGATGGGGATGATGATGATGATGATGATGACGATGGAAAAAGACGATGGTCATGATCATGGTGCTGATGATGATGGAAGAGGGAGGAGGAGAGGAGGAGTGAGGGAGACGCGGGGCGCTGTCCCTTCAAAACGAAGACCCAACACCACAGGATGGTTGGGAATCAAAACGAAGTGAGCTTCCCTGCCAAGACCGACCCTGCCACCTCGCAGGCGTGTTGCATTCGCTTTGCGTTTGGAGGACACGGCCAGAATGCAGCAGGGAGCAAGTGACCATGTTTCCAACTTAGGATCGGACTAGTTTGCATGCGCTCTTTCCTCGTCGTTCAGTTGATCGGGGACTGACCGCGCCATACCTCGGGCGATGGGTGGCCGCCTCAGGTTGTGAGTGCGCCGAGCCCTCACGATGGCTGTTCGCCTCTGGTTCCCCTGGAGGATTAGCCTGATGGCTCGTTCACTCTTCAGTATCTCGTAATTCTGGTCGACAGGGATCCCCTGCCGCCAACGTGGCCAGATGGAGCCTGCACCAATTCGCCTTTTGTAGCGTGCGTTGCATGCTCGCCTGCGCATGATGCCTTACAGTTTCGGTTCCGAGCTCCGAGCGTGTAGTCTGTATCAGCCTCCTGCCGTATATGACCCTCGACAGGTGTCTTGATCCTGTGGTGTTCTCTGCGCCGCAGATCCTCTCTTCCTGGCGAGTCACGCCCCCTAGCCACCGGTGTCGGAGCAGCCACCTTCTCCTTATCCTCCTCCTCGTTCCCTTCCTCCTCATCATCATCTTCCTCCCCGTCCCTCTCCTCCTCCTCCTCCCCCTCCTCGTCCTCGTCCTCCTCCTCCTCCTCCTCCTCCTCTTCCTCTTCTTCCCTCCTCCTCCTCCCCCTCCCTCCTGCTGCTGCGCCCGCTCTGGAAAAGCCTCCGCAGCGTTCGCCGCGACCGTCAGCGACCGCCTCGGTCGACAGCGCTCCACCTCATCCTCCTCCTCCTCCTTTCCCTGCTCCTCCTCCTTCTCCCCCCGGCAAGCTCCGCCGGCGACGCCGCCGACGCCACCACCGCCGAGCCGCCGAGGGGCGCCGATGGCCTCCCGATCGAGTTCAGCGCGCGGATCTCCGCGTGCAGGCGCGCCTGCCCCTGCTTCTTGGGGACGCATACGGCGACGGGCTCCCCCTTGAAAGACCCTATGAACACCTCCTTGTCGCTGCCGGACGCGAGGGGCCTTAGTGGCAGGCATCATCGACGATGACGCCGACGACGACGAGAAGAACGACAACGGCGGCGGCGGCGACGGCGGCAGCGCCGACGACAACGAATCAACGACGACCTTGGCGACGATGACGACGTCGACGACGACGACGATGACGACGTCGACGCCGACAACGACGACGACGACGACGACGGCGACGAATCAACGACAACGGCGGCGGCGACGACGGCGACGGCGAAGAAGATGACAACGACGACGACGACGACGGCAACGCCGACACCCTCGACGACGACGGTAACGACGACGACAATGACGACGTCGACGACGACGACGAAGACGACGAAGACGACGAATCAACGACAACGGCGGTGGCGGCGACGACGGCGACGGCGAAGAAGACGGCAACGACAGCGACGACGACGACGACGGCAACGCTGACACCCTCGACGACGACGGTAACGACGACAAAGGCGGCGGCGACGGCGGCGACACTGATGACGACGACGGCGACGGCGGCGACGACGAAAAAGAGGACGTCGTCGTCGCTTCGTGGCATTTAAAACAAAATCGTGCTCCGCCAAACAACGACCGAGCGACTGTGCTTGGCTTGGCCAAAGACTGCCCGAGCCGCGCGACACGAAGCTTCCAGTGCGACAGGGTCGAATCCACTCGTGCCATCAACCGAGAGGTATGCATCAAATGCACCAGCGAAGCGTGGCACCGCCATAGAGTGTTGAAGTTGTGGAAAAATCTGCCGCCGTAGCATTAATTATGCATGTGCTATCTTGCAAAGCTGGTGTGACAACACAGCCACTGCTTGACGGACAAAACATCCGTCGCTATTTGGCTCAAGGCTCCTATCCGCCAGAGGAACTGTACGAACTGAGTAAGGAAAAAGAACCGATCTGATCGTCAGCACACGAGACCAAACGATCATGGAGGAGCATGTGTTTGATTTAGCTCTCGCCCGGCCTGCGGGGCCGAGTAGCAGCTATACGAGGGCGAAGAGGAGGACGAGGAGGAGACCCCCTCCTGCTCGTCATTCCTCATTCCAGCCTGCTCCATATTGAGTCATCCCTCCCCCTTGCCCATCCTTCCTCCTTTCTCCTCCTTTTCTGCTTCTTCCATCCTGTTCCATCGGGCCTCCACCTTCATGGCCTTATGGATGAGGGCTTTTGCATGATATCATTTGACGCACGCCAAGTCCTCGTTCTCCTCCTCCTCCTCCTCCTTCTCCTTCTCCTGCTCATCCTCCCCCCTCCTCCTCCCAGCCCCTCTCCCTCCCCCAGAGCGCGTGGGATACATACAATTCAGCTGGGGCCGCCGGCCGCGAATCTTCTCCCGCACACCAGCGGAAACGGACGGGAAGAAGGAGACAAGAAAACATTAAAGACACTACGGTCGTTATCATCCGCACGTGAACTGCGAACTGATGACAGGCTCCCACGTCCAAGTGGAAAGAAGAAATATGCTGCGCTGGCGGCGGCGCTATCGACCACGCGCCAAAGGCAATGGGCCTCGGAACGGAACGGCAGACTGCTACGCAAGCGTTCAAGGAAGGGGGCGACGACTACGCGGATGAACTCGGATCCAGAAATGTGACCCACGCTGAAGCGAGAGCGCCAGACAGAACGACGGGAGCAACGCGCCGATCCTGAAATGAAGCCAAGCCTGTAGCGGGAACCCAACACGACACCCGATTGAACAACTAACGAAAGAGACAAACCGCTATTCAGCTCCCAAGAAGAAACAAACACTATGCGGGAGACGCGGCGCCCCGCTCGAACAGAATCTGGGGGGGGGGGGGGCGGAGAATGCATTTAGATGGGGTCCTGTGTCATATGGTGAGAGGGAGGAGGGAGGGAGGGAGGGAGGGAGGGAGGGAAGGAGGGAGGGCGAGGAAGAGGAGGAAGGTCTTGGTCCCAGGACGAACCGACCGGCAGCATCGACGACGACGACGGCGACGTGCCCCCTGATCGGAGGATCAGGGCCCTCCTGTGTACGGGGCGCGCTGGGATCCCACGTCGGCCGCGCGCTGCTGCTGCTCCCACACCCCATAGCTCCTGTTGGGGAGGGGGAGGAACCGCCAATACGCGCGCGGGCTTTGGAGCGGTCGAGCCCTCCCGTTTCAGGTCGTGCTCAGGAATACTTTCCCAGCCAGCCCACCAGAACCACGGGTGGGTGGGGGGCCAAAGAGCCAGCGGCGGGGCACAGTCCAACAGCGCGTGCGTGAGCGGAACGTCTTCTTCAAGAAAGCCTCGAAGGGGCAAGACGCTCTCTGGACCCAGAGCATAAGGAGAGCACTCCCAAAGTCAGATCGACACTCGGGCCTTTCGCAGGAACAGCATAACCGCTCCTGGACATCCCATGTCACCCACCTTCGCGCATCGGGCCCCGTGATGCGCGATTACTTGAGCGCCATCTCGCCCTCGCTCCGCCCCCTTGGAGAGGGGCAGCCGCTCTGGCCCAGACCGCGAAGCGAGAAGCGAGGTTTTCCTCGCACTCCAGCGGGTGACCTAGGACATCGCACCTTTCCAGTGCAACGGCGAACTAGGGCAGCTGGTCCAGTTCCGCAAGACGCGCAGGTTCAATAGGGCCTCGCCGAGTGGCCGGAGGCCGGCATCTAACAGGGCGGGGGGGCATCACACGCTTTCACCAAGGAGCTGAATGTCGAGGCCAGCCCCGAGGAACAGAGAAAGAGGCGCAAGATCATCGAGGCCAATGAGAAATTCTGGGAGGGCTACTGGGACCCGGAGAAACAATTAGTCTGGCAAAGAACCCAACCATAAGCAAATGTGTATACCGCAATTGTGGGTATCGTCTTCCGTGGAGCTTCCTCTGGGCCACGAAACGCTGTACCAGGCAGGGGAACAGCATGTGAGTTCCACCACTGGGACCTTCGGTGGAGCTCCCTATGGGGCCCCGAAGCGCTGTACTGGGCGCAGGAACCGCATGCGAGCTCGCCACTGGGACCTTCAGCGGAGATCACTAGGGGGCGACGAAGCGCTGAACTAGGCACAGTAACCGCATGCGAACTGCGCCACTGCGACCTTCGGTGGAGCTCCCTATGCGGCCACGAAGCGCTGTACTGCGCGCAGGAACCGCATGCGAACTGCGCCACTGGAACCTTCGGTGGAGCTCTCTATGGGGTCACGAAGCGCTGCACTGGGCACAGGAACCGCATGCGAACTGCGCCACTGCGACCTTGGGTGGAGCTCCCTATGGGGCCCCGGAACGCTGTACTGGGCGTAGGGACCGCATGCGAACTGCGCCACTGGGACCTTCGGTGGAGCTCCCTAGGGGGCCCCGAAACGGCGTACTGGGCACAGAAACCGCATGCGAACTGCGCCACTGGGACCTTCGGTGGAGCTCCCTATGGGGCCCCGAAGCGCTGTACTGGGCGCAGGAACCGCATGCGAAGTCGCCACTGGAACCTCCAGTGGAGATCCCTAGGGGGCCACGCAGCGCTGTACCGGGGCGCAGGAACCGCATGCGAACTGCGCCACTGCGACCTCCAGTGGAGATCCCCAGGGGGCCACGCAGCGCTGTACTGGGCGCAGGAGACGCATGCGGACGGCGCGTCTGGGACCTTGGGTGGAGCTCCTTATAAGGCCACGAAGGGCTGCATTTGGTGGGGGAGACGCATGCGAACTGCGCCACTGAGACCTTCGGTGGAGGTCCTACTGGGGCCACGATGATGACAATGATGATGCTGATGCTAATGATGATAATGATGGAAGGAGGGAGGAGGAGGAAGGAAGGAGGAGCGCGGGGCGCTGTCTCTTCAAAACGAGGACCCAACACCACAGAATGGTTGGGAAAAAGAGGAGTGGCCAGATGGCAAGGCTCCGCCGAAACCGAAGATCCCGAACGATGGTCGCGCCAGATCAACTGCTGAAACCGGGCCCCGACATACCGGACAGTGGCAGCAGGATTGGTACGGCAATGTTCTAAACCGTGGTATGTTCGACTGTACACGTCGTATGTGTAGAAAAAGTGACGCCGTTGTGGAAAGAGAGACCCTACCAGAAGTAACACATCTGCAGACCAACCCCAAGAAGGCACAAGCTATAGGGAGGAGAGACAACCGAGTGAGAAGAGATTCGTAACACGGGCAGCATTGTATCTTACTCGAGGTGAGGCACTGGGGCCGCATGCTATATTTGTATATACATATGCATGCATGCATGCATGCATACATACCGGCATGCATACATGCACGTATACCTGCATACATACACACGTGCAGGTATAAGCATGTGCATGTACACATACATCCATGCAGACCTACATACACATACATGCATGCATGCATACATACATGCATGTATGCATGCATGCGTACATACATACATACATGGATACATGCATACGTGCACACACGCATGCATACCTACATGTATACACACATGCATGGTTACACGTTACACACATGCATACGTACACACATACACACACGCATACACGCATGCATGCATGAATGTATGCATACACCCATACATGGTGCATACAGAGTGCACACATACATGCCCACATGCGTGCATCCACACATGCATACATCTGTGCGTACATACATACATACATACATACATACATACATACATACATACATACATACATACATACATACATACATACATACATACATACATACATACAAGCATGCACACAATACTACATTCACACATACATAAATCCGTACATCCGAGAGAGCGTGATCCACCGCCGCTTTACTGTGAAAAATTGCCGCCCTCTTCCTCCAGAACCCAGGGTTCCCCCCCCCCCCTCCGAAAATCGCCCCCCCCCTGCTGGACACCCCCCCCCTCCCCTCCCCCGGCAAAAACCCCCCCTCCCCTAACCCCCCCCCCCCCCCCTCCCCCTCGAAAACGGGGGGGGTCACTACCGGTTCGAACCCCCCCCCCTCGAAAACCGGAGGGGGGGTCACTACCGGTTCGAACCCCTCCCCCCCCCCCACTCACCGCCAGCAAACGACTCCCGGTCCCTACCACCGTCCGCACCACATCCCCCACTGTTGTTCCCAGCACCACTGTCCTCACCACCACTGTCCCCACTGGTTCCACCACCGTCCCTACTGTCCCCACCAGTGCCCCCACCACTGTCGCACTGTCCCCACTGTCCCCACCACTGTTCCCACCACGGTTCCACTCTCCCCACTTCTCCACGGCCCCAACCACTGCCCGACTATCCCCACTGTCCCCACTGTCCCACTGACTCCTCCGCTGTCCCACTGAGCTGTCCCACTGTTCCCACCACTGTCCCCACTGTCCCCACCACTGTCCCCACTGTACCTCTGTCCCATTGTCCCACCGCCGTCCTCGCCACCGCCTTCACCACTGTCCCCACCACCACTGTACCCTCCACTGTCCCACTGTTTCCACCTCATTCCCACTGTCCCCACACCACTGTCCCCACCACCACCGTCCCCACCACTGTCCACTGTCCCCACTGTTCCCACCATTGTCCTTACCACCGTCCCCACCACGACCGTCCCCACCGCTGTCCCACTGTCCCCACCACTGTCCCGCTGTCCCCTCACCACTGTCCCCACCACCACCGTCCCCACTACTGTCCGCACCCCCCCTCGGTTTTCGAGGGGGGGGGTTCGAACCAATAGTGACCCCCCCCGGTTTTCGAAGGGGGGGGGGGTTCGAACCGGTAGTGCCCCCCCCTGTTTTCATGATGAACTTGGGGGGGGGGGGGGGAGGGGTTCGATGCGGTAAAGACCCCCACCGGTTTTCCGTAGGGGGGGGGGAGGGGTTCGAACCGGTAGTGACCCCCCCCCGGTTTTCCGCCAGCAGCGGTAGAACACGCTATTTCGTACATCCAGACTTACACACATACGTTCACACATTCATACGTACATGCATCCATATACACATACATGCATACACATGTGCATACATGCATGCATTCATACATGCATGTTGCATGCAAGTATGCATGCATGCATACATGACTGCGCATATTGATACATACAGACAACCATACGTACATACACCCATACATACACGCACTGATGCATGTATGCTTTATATATATGTATATATATATACATATATATATATGTGTGTGTACGTATACAAACAGCTGCATACGTATACACATCGAACTATACCATCGTTGTGCGGCCACGTGCACGGAGAGCCTGGGCAATGCCAGCTTGCCAGAGGAAGGAGGACACGACGAACAGGGGAACACTGGTGAAGCTCGTGAGAACCACGATCTCCTCTTCGTCGCTCAAGGCAGGGTCGAATTGCCGAGACCTCCGAATCAAGATCACTCAGGGCTTGGACTCCGTGCCGCGCCCCGCCATTACGACGAGGCATATTCAAGCTGGGCCTGGAACTGCAGGGAGCCCGGGGGGATGGAAGGGAGAGCATTGAGCCCGTACCAATTCTCGAATATACACCGAAAGTGGGACTCTCTCCAAAGAGGCACGTGCTTCCACACGATGGCACGACCGGCGAAGAGAAGGATCAGGGCATGGGCAGGGAAGTCAAGGGAGCGGAGAGAGCAGAAGACAAGGGAAGGAACGGCGTTACGAGGAGCCGAGATGACAATCTGCGGCATCTTACGCTCGACGGTCACGGCATGACGAGGGAGAGAACTGAAACAAGGATGATGCGGGGAGATTTGGGGACGAGGGGGAAGAGAAGGATTGGAAAGCGGTCAAGCATTCGGAGAGTATCACGTCCTCTTCAACACAGGTGCGTGGCTGAATGGCTTGAGGCGCCGGGCTCCGCAGTACCACGACTTGAGCCAGACAGCCCGCTGATGGATCTGTGGAGGGCGAGAAGGGATGAGTGGCAAGGCCGAGGGCTGCGCACAAAGGGCAGCTGCAGGTGGCCCCAGACCCCGACGTCGGGACTTTCCACAGCGTTGATCCCCAGAGAGCTGGCACCGAGACCGGCATCTCGTCCTGCGTTATTTTTGTTGGACGGCCCAAAAGCTTCCCAAAGGCCAAAAATTACGATGAATTTTCCGTCGTGTTTTTTCGTGTTCACGACGCGAGCGGCCCTGAGGATGAGGGGGAGAATCAGGTCCTG